TCGCGTGACTAGAAAACACAATCGTAGTTTGTGACGTCACACGTTTGCAAACAAATTATTTACATTGACCTTTAATGTCATTACTTGACGACCGGATGGCGTATTATAGTGGTTTGTGCAACAGATGATTCCAAAGGCTACCTTTTTCGATTCCCGCTCAAGTCAAACATTTGTGTGTATCAACATTTATTGGTCTGGGTGTTTCCATGCAGAATATGAATGTATTTACAAAAAAACTATATTTATATGTATTTATATCAGTTGTCTAGTACCCATAGTACCAGCTCTGCTTAGTTTGAGACTAGATGGCGTTCTGTGAATATGGTAGAATAGAATTATTTCATGATTATTATTATATTATATTGGCAATATGAGCAATCAAAATTTTTTTCATTATTTATTCCGCCAATCTCCCTCCGAGTCTTCCTAATTAATTACACAAATGGTTAAACCTATATAAACATGATGTTACGGCGATGTTGCTTAAATATATGCTATGAGCTTGGAAGGAATGTACATAATTTCATTGCAAAAGAATTCTACTATTTTCCTCCAAAATCATTTTATCGTTTGACCGACCATCGTATATCTTTGTTAAAAAGTTTGTAGTTTAAAAGCGAGTGATATTCGACAAGAGTTTTGATTTTGAGTTTTGTCAGTATTGATATTAAATCACAATTTATATATATCTATCGTGTCTAGAAAATACAATGGCAGTGGTTGACGTCACAGAATTGCAGCAAATCCTTCACAAACAAATAAAAGAGTAGATTTTTTACTGTCGCTTCTGTTAATATTATTAAAATTACTGTGATGTTATGTGAGAAATCATTACATCTAGCAATCAATTATTATTAGACATCGTCTCTCAGTTGATCGACCATTTCGTTGTTTAATTTCATTGACCAGTATAACTTGAACTGTCTCTGTATAGGCTTTCACAGTGACAGTTCAAAATACATACTAAACCAGTATAGCGGCATGTAAAGATTTTGAGAAAAAAAAATATTTACGCATCAGTATATTTAGGATATACGCATCTTTAGACGTAGGATTCCTCAAAGTCTTTAGCACAGATTCAGCATGAACTGATAAAACAATAAAATTTTAAGCTTACGTCGAGCCCAAAAAATAGTGCCCAACTGTTAGCCACTTAGTTCCTTTCCGCTGTTGCTGTGTTTCAGACGTGTTATCGCTGTTTATAAAAGCTAATTGACATTTGCATTTGCACTAGCATAATAAAGTTGTGTTAGTTGTTTTGATTGTTTTGATCTAAGAATACATCACGAAAATAATACATTTCGTTTATTTAAACGCAAAATGGCTAGTTTTTTGCTGGTTTATACAAAAAGCAGTATGAAAAAAATCTTAAGCACCGAGCAAAAGTTTTTCTATTAGATAACAACACCTTCTTATGACGTCTAATTGAATATGTGTCGATGCTGAACCAGAACATGTATTTTATTAACAGACTTTTAAAAAAAGACACGTTCTCAATTTGTTTGTAGGTTTTTTATGTCTTACCTCAGAACTCCGTCATGCCTGTCACTTATGAATCGATATACTCCCTGATAGGTCCCATTCAAATCTAAAGTGAAATACAACCTTTAAGGGTGGAATGTTCCTTAATTTTCCACCTTCAAGGGAATGTAATAAACTGTATTCATATCCGTATTATTATTTCTGATGATTGTTATATATGTATTACGAAATATTATTAAGAATACATCATCATCACCACCATCGACAGCCTTTAATAGTTCACTGCTGGACATAGGCCCCTCCTTAGAAAGGAGGTTATGGCTTACCACGCTTTCCAGACGGGTTGGTATAGGGTTTGTTTCAAGTTTTCCTTCTATTTGCAGTGCTGTTGTCCTGTGTAGTTTGCTTTCTTAGTCAGCTCTTACGACACCCACGGGATGAATAGGGGTGGTGACACTCTATTAGATTCTATTATAAATACCTACAGTTTATTACAATTCATACTACTATGTTATTGTCATTCCATGAGTTATTGTGAACGGGATATTTATCATTTTCCTTTTCGAGAATTACTTGCCGATATTTCAACACTGTTGCAAGCACCATCATGATCATGGCGCTTTTATAATTATCAGTCCTGATGCAAGCGCATTAAATGTGGTGATATGGGTAATTTTTTAAAGATAATTATTGTTATCATAATTCATGAACCATCGTTGTGATTATATCTACCATATCTCTTTATAATCTGGTCTTTTTTCTAACTGTGCTAAAGGAAACTAGAAGTTGTTCCGTGTACTTAATACTAAATATTTTGATACAGGTAGCGACAAGTCTAATTTTCTTAATATTATGAAATACGTCAAACGTTTTTCATAATTTGAACAATCTCAATCGGTCACATGCTGATCAGGATAAAAAAACTGGATAAACCAGCAAATCAAACTAATAATTGCTGAAATTGAAATAATCTTTTATCAACAGATTAAAAGTATTATAATAAGTAGCTTATATGTTATGTTGGCTTTGATCTAAAATTATCTAAATATAATTTACAGTACTTTAATGCGACTGAACTTTGATCTCTAGTTTCCCAAGATTTTTTCTAATATCCTAAAATTCAATCCTGATGGTTGTTCTAAGGACAACTAAAACTACTTCTGTAGTACCTTACTAGTAACTGATATGCAGATAGAGTACCTGTAAAATTAAAATTCTAGTACTAACCACCTACTTCCATCGTGGGAGAGCCATGCTTCGGCATGAATGGGCGGACTCGACCGGAGTGATACCACGGCTTCACAGAAAACCGGTGTTAAGCAATTCTTTCGTTGCCTTTCACTGAGTGAGTGAGGTTACCGGAGCCCAAATCCTGACTTGGCTGACTCGAGCGGGAGGGATTCCAAGGGCGGCAACACACTTGCGACTTTTGAGTTGCAGGTGTCCATGGGCGGCGTTAGTTGCTTCCCATCAGGTGACCCGTCTGCTCGTTTGCCCCTTAAGGGATTAAAATAAAATTAAGGTAAGGGTACGTCGAAATTATTAGGGTTCTTGATGACAACGGATCCCTAAATGTAATAACATACCAAAACCGAAACATGCACATGTATCGTATGTATCTAATCTTTTAGTTGCGTTTATCTTTTATTTATAAATTACACTGACCTAAGGTAGAATATTTTAATTTCTGTTCAACTGGAAAATTTCCATGGATCAAATCTGCACTGCACATAGGACAAGAGTACAGGCAAATTCACGAGTCTTTTTTTTGTTGACGGGTTGGAAAATCCCTTCGGATCTCCTGCTCCTCGGGGACTCAGGAGCCAGGAGTATGTAATGATTCCACTAAAAAGGTGTCCTACTCTGCGAGGACCCGGACCATGTTATTTCAGGTCCTCCCCGATTTGACACCATACCTAATCAGGCCCTATCCCAAAGGAAAACACTTCCCAATTGCGTCTTAATGCAATCAGGCTGCCATTCTATCCCCTACCGCAGCAATCAATCTGCTACCAGAGGTCCCCACTCTCTGGCAGCCTGCGGCCCCGTCGACGGCTGGTATCGTCGCCGACGTCTTGTACGTTCGGGATCGGCTCTGTCGGTGAGCGTGCCGCCGCATTTAGTGTTCAAAGCCATCAAAAGGCGGGAAACGTGCCAGGACTGTCACCGCCTACAATCCGAACGGCTGCTACCCGCTGCTGTTGATGGAGCTTAGCTCGACAGCGGGAGGAGGCCACATAGTTCACACATCACAATAGTTTGGGTTTAGGATTATGAAATTTTACATAATGTTCTTTAAATGACGTGAAGTGTACACTATTTTTTTTTTAATTCATTTCCTAAGGGGTTACAGAGAGGGTTGAAGGTTTGTATGACACTTGATCAAAGAAGTTAGAAATGTAAAAAAAAAAAATTCGTTCTCATGGTACAAACAAGTTTAGTTATCAATATATTTCAATAATGATGGACGGACTGCGTGAAAGAGGATATGGCTAGAAAGGGTGTAAACAGTGAACTGATGAGTGATAGAGAAGAATGGAAGAAAAAACTCATTGCGCCAACCCAAAGGAAAATTTAATTTTTGGTCAAGGCTGAGTTGAACGTAGTTTTTTACAAAGAACTAGCTAAGCGACTGATCAACTTCTTATGATCTAAAGACGGAAATTTTCTGGCACAAAAAAAATTTAGCGAAACGGTCAAACGAAATCATTTATTGTTTTAATTCTGCCAGCCTGGTAAGTGAAAACCAGTAGGTATGAAATACGTTTATGAGTGGTAATCATTGTACAAAAAATGTGTATTTCAGATTTCGTCGACTATCATCATCATCAACAGCCTTGAATAATCCACTGCTGGATATAGGCCTCTCCTTGGAAAGGAGGTTTTGGCCTACTATATCACGCTGCCCAGACGGGTTGGTATAGGGTTTGTGTCAAGTTTTCCTTCTCTTTGCCGCTGTTGTCCTGCGTAGTTTGTCCCCTTAGTCGGCTTATACGACACCCAGGGGATGAATACACCACACGGACTTCTTAATCCGTCAATACACGGACTTCTTAATCCGTCACCACACGGACTATAGTCGACTATAGACGATTGTATATTCTTAGTAAAAAGTTATTATGGAAGAAAGCTATTTATAGGCCAAACTCATTATGCGCAGTAATATATTAAGCATCAATCTTTTGATAATGGACATTAATTTATCATTTCATTGTAATACACTGGGAGGCAGTGTGTGTTGTTAACGATTGCCATATCTAAAACATGTCCTGAATCTGAGATAAACTGTAAAGCTATTGGACAAATCGATTTTATATCAGCTTATCTCACAATTACATACTAATTTTATATACACGCATTAATTACTTATTCGTAGCAGGAGCTAATGGTGCATTAGCATTGCAACGTAACTGTGGGAAATTTAATTGAACTTAAAATATTTAATAGTTCAATAAAGCTCTGTGTGTGTGATTAATTGTAATAGTTCGCGAATTAGAAGTAAACGTACAAAATACAGCATGGATTCCGATAAAATAAGTATTGAGGCAGCTATAACCAGAGCCGGTAGGTATTTTTACTTTTTATACGACCGTTGTGATTGAACAAATTGTACGTATTTTAGTATATTTGATTTCCAAATACCAATGAAAACAAAGAGGTGATGATCCGCACAGTAAAAAATGGAAATGTATTTTACAAAACCCCTTTTATTGGTGACGGTGTGGAAAACCCCTTGAGGCTCTTCGTCTCTTTGGGGACGAATTAGCCAGGAGTATATTGTTTTTCAAACTAAAAACCACCACAATTGTAGTCTGGGGAGGACCCGGGCCCTGCGGTTGCATATCTGCCCCCCCCCCGGCCCCGGGGGGGGGGCCGTATCCAACGGACTTTATAAACCACCTAAAAAGTGTGAGATACTAGAATACTATAGAAAACCAATTTAATTTAAAACATTAAATATCACAAATTAAATACGCATAAGGAAACAAATAAATACAAAGCTTATTCCGTAAGATACCATTGTCAAGTCTTGATGATCTTGTCTAGAACTGAAGAATTGAACCATTTGAATTATAAAATTGAATCCATTGGTTTCATTGATAAATCCTTTTAAAAAAGCTGAACCGACTTCAACCAATACTAACAAAGAGCACTAAAAACCTAGCAGCAATCACGGTTGTTTTGCTGTCATTTTTTTAATAGTTCCGTTGTCTGTCACCGAAACTCATCATCAGATCCATATGAAATTGAAATGGGACCATTTCGGCATAAACCCCTTTCGAACAAATGAGGAATTATGAAGAGCTATATATAACGCCGAGCATATATAACGGACTTATGCCCGAACATACAGAAAAAAATATAAACATCCGAATTGATAAACGGCCTCCTTTTTGAAGTCAGTTAAAAAAATATTGCGATGTTTAACTGAGTGTATGAGATTACTACTGAGATACTAAAAGGGCGACAGAAAAGCATTTGCATCTCCTAAATTCCATTTGTCCTCCAAGTAAACAAAAAAAAAACAAATTATCTCTAAGTCTATTATAGTTTTATTATCTCTGAACAGGATTTGCGATACGAGGAAAATGCGCTTTTTATTTACAATGATAATCGCACGCGAGCGGTACGGAATTTTATTTAATGTTTTAATAATAATTAATATTTTGACATGCGATGTAGGTTGACGTTCAACCGTCCTTTTAGTAAAACAATTGATTCTGAAAGACAAATAAAGGAGTACGTGAAAGAGTATGTCGAGTGATCAAGGAGAATGGTGAGAGCAAACTCATTGCACTGACCCTAATTAAATTAGAGAATAGGTAGGAATATGATGATGGTAACTCTCTTCATTTTTAGCCTTAGAAAGAAAGATAGACTTTATTTAAGTAAGAGAAACCTAACATCAACTGCCCATCACTCTTTGCAAATTATCACTTTGCCTATCCAGGGAAGTGCCCTGTCAAGTTCTCTTGGTACTTCATCGTTATGAATCATGATTAGAATAGATTAGTTAGCAACTACATTAATGTTATCGAAATGCAATTCATGGGTTACCATGGGGGGGTTGGGGAATGGATGATTGGGATTTTCAACGTCAATCAACGCTTAAAAAGTGATGTTATTTAGAAGCGGAGGGGGTTGTCTTAGAAAACGGTTATTTTGAATGCCAGTTTTATCACTATAACTGAAAGTTATCTTCATTACGAATTTGAGGAATGATTTAGTCCAAAAGGTAATTATTTTCGAATATTTGCAAGAAGTATTCAAGGTTCTATTGGTGATTGTTCTAACCAGAATTGTCTGTAAAAAGTAAAATGAATAAGAAAGAAGAATAAATATTAACAACAAGAATAAACTCCCACAGCCCAAGGGAAAAGAAAGCAATGCCCTGGATGGGAATTGAACTCACAACCTCTGTATTAGCAGTCAGCATCACTGACCTCTAGACCAATAGGCTCGTTGAAAAGTAGTCAGAAATTATTCATTGATCTTATTTCCAGGGTTTGGGCTCTACGGCTGTTTGATGACAGCTCTAACCGCCCTTATATTGATCGCATTTGCTTGTATCGCCTATGGTGTCATGTTTATTGTGCCCACGAGTGCCTGTGAGCTCCAGACTACTACTGCGCAGCAAGGACTATTAGCTTCTGCACCTATAATAAGTAAGAAGTTTCATAACAATAATATTCATCATCAACAGCCTTTACTAGTCCACTGCTGGACATGGGCTTCTCCTTAGAAGGGAGGTTTTGGCCTACTATAACACGCTGGACGGACGGGTTTGTAATGGATTTGTTTCAAGTTTTGCCTTATCTCTGAAGTTATGTCGTCCTGCAAAGTTTGCTGCCTTAGCCTCTTAAGACACCCACGGTATGAATAGAGGTGATGACACTCCGTATTCTTAATTCGTCACTACATGGAGATATACATAACAATAATATTAGCAAGGGCAATATAGTTTCCAATAAAATATGAATTTAGCGGTGTAGCGATGCCTCAACGCATATGGGTCATGTCGACCTGGATAATAATACGGCCTCACAAAAACTGATGTTAAGCTACTTATTTCGTTGCTTTTATGGAGTGAGTGAGGTAACCGCAGCCCAAACTTCTGCTCCCACTCAACTCCTGTTGTTTGTTTTTTAATGGCAGTTCTCCATGGATGGTGGTAGTCACTTACCATCAGATAACTCGTCTGCTCGTTTGCCTCCTATACCATAAAAACAAACCCAAATTTGATACGTTACCCTTAAACATTTTGCCAATAATAATGTAATAGTAGATTTTTAGCTAAAGCATTGTGTTTGTTATTTTCGCACCATACCCTCCGTAGAGGAAAGGGAGGACTTGTGTAGGACTATTGGAGAACCGGTCTACCCACTAAACTATTAGGCGGCCTACTGCGGCAGTCGGGAGAAGCTCCAGGAACGCATCGGCGGCTTCTAGAAGGCTCTCTGCATGTGGAACATAATGTTTTAGCTAAGAATCTACTATTACTTTCTTCCTCCTCATTTCTTAAAAGTTCCCATAGGTGCTGTCATCTACGAGAACTGTGATTCAATTTGACTGAAGTACTTAAACATTACGTTTTGCTAACGTGACTAATACCCTGTCATCTTTCTGCATAGGTCTTTTACTTGGCGGAGTGGTGTGGAGTTACTTGGCAGATACTCGAGGCCGGCGCGCCATGCTACTGATATGTCTCGCGGGTGGTACATTATTTAACCTGATCGGCACTATATCCGTCAATTGGATTATGCTGATGGTCTTTCAACTTATTGCTGGAATATTGTAAGTTTGAACTCCTAGATTTATTAGTTAATGTTAGAGCCCTCGGACTTTACAGCAACCGCTCGAGAGAAAAATCAATGTCAATTTTTTTTGTTCAGAGTGTGGTGTCTGAAAACGGTCCCCTTAAAAGTACACACTTATCAAAATTGTTTAACTATTTCAGTGCAGCTGGAATCTACTCTGTGTCTATGACGTTACTCAGTGAGTCTGTCCCGATGACTCATAGGAACTCCGCCATTCTGATAGTGGCCAGTGTCATGTTCCTTGGACAAGGCATCAAAGGATGTAAGCAAATGTTTTTCAAGTTATGTTTCCATAATATTATCAATATCAGCTTCTAGTGTAATTACAGTAGTAGGATTAACAAAATAAAGTTACGACAGACTGTAACTGTAATTAACTTGCTATTAAGTAAATACTTTCTAAGGACTGTCAAAGGAGCTATAAAGGCTTTTATACATGTGGAGAAACGAGTGTCATGTCCCTTCAACACAAAAGGAGAATCCTCCGACCAGGCGAGGCGAACATGCCTGGCGGGCCGTGATCCAACGGTTGATGTTGGGAAGTTGTATTTATGCTAATCGTCGAGAAAATTCTCATTTAGAAGTTACTCCGTAATTCGGTGTGTCTTCGTTAGATGGTGCTGTAGTATATTTCTGTTTCTTTGTATGTGGGAGTCGCCACAATACACATATGACATGTGGGAGTTGACCGGAGTGTTGATTAATTCTTTTGTCGCTTTTCATCAAGTGATTGAGGTTTGCGGAGATCAAACCTAGGGCATTCAGAGGACGGTAACTCACTTGATTTTTGTCTGTTGCAACTGTCCCTTGGTTTACCTTTTAAACGTAACTAAAAAGGTAAATTTTCTTTTTTCAGTAATCGCGCTTCCAATAATCTCCTTAACTTTCTCATACTACCTCCCAAGTTTAGGCATCTATTGGAACTCATGGCGTACTCTAATGTTAGTATACAGCATACCAGCCATCGTTTCCGGTCTTGCCCTATTTTTTATGCAGGAGAGTCCAAAGTTCGTTTTTAATAAAAGAGGCGAAACTGAAAGTTTGGAGATTTTGAAGAGAATTCACAGAGTTAATAACTGGAGATCTAAAGAAGAATTACTGGTACGTGCACATTTTTGTTTATTTTACTGAATGTCGCTAGTTAACAATGAGTGCTTCGGAAGTGCGAAGAGCTGCAATGCACTTTTGTGCACTCTTGACTTGTATGTGTCCATGAGCGCTTGACATGCGCATGACTTGTATGTGACAAACGCATGACTTACCATCAAAGGAAAAGCCAGGAAAAGCGTGAAAATGAGCAGACGGGTGTCTGCTCATTTTCACGCTTTTCCACAAGAATAATAATAATTTATATTTGCAAACGACCGGATGGCGTAGCGATTTGTGTAACGGACTGCTATTCCAAAGGTCGCGGGTTCGATTCCCGCTCAAGTCAAACATTTGTGTGCATGAACATTTGATGTTTGATTTGGTCTGTGTGTTTCTATGTATAATATGTATGTATTTACAAAAAAAAAAAAAAGGATATATGTATTTATATCAGTTGTCTAGTACCCATAGTACAAGCTCTGCTTAGTTTGGGACTAGATGGCGTTGTGTGTATGTGGTAGAATATTATATTATTTAGTGACAAACCTTTAATATGTGCAGAAAACAAAAAAAGGATAGAATATTGAGAGATGTATATGTGTATGATGAACATTGTTTATAATAAGCAACTTTAATTTACAGATTAAAGGAATAATCCAGGACGAATTGATTTTACCCAAAACCCAATCGTCAGTTAGAGACCAATTATTTCCGTTGTTCAAGGCGCCTCTCTTAAAGTCCACTATCATCATGCTTTTTATGAACTTAACCCAACAGTGAGTAACTTACCTAAATTTTAATTTTAACATCAATAATATTCATCATCATCATTAACAGCCTTTACTTATCCACTGCTAGACATAGGCCTGTTCTTAGAAAGGAGGTTTTAGCCTACGACACCCACGGGATCAACAGGGGTCATGACACTCCGTATTGTTAATCCATTAACACACGGATTAACAAACTTAAACACAACGAACACTAAAGTAGTTTCAATAAATATTTTTACAAAATAAGTAATGATTAATGAGGTTTTATTATATGCACTTAAACAAAACCTTGTAGTAGATACACTCAACCTTTTAATAGATAACCTCTAAAATTATATCTAACCTAATCAAAACGGCATTCTGCAAATCTGATTTAGATTATTAAACATGTACCTGCCATTTCACGACCTCATATAGTCAGGGAAATGTACAAATTTAGACTTTTTTTTACTTTAAATATAATGTGTGCCATTTTGTTCGATAACTTGTTGCTATCTTGTAGGCACTGACATAATCTGTTTAATGTAGAAATTTAAGGATTTTTAAACAAAAAATTCTACAAGTAGTTTCGATCGATATTTTTGTCCGGCAGTAAAAGCTTAAATATCGAGCTCAAAATTTTCAGTGGTCTATTCTCAGTTACTCGACTATGTCATAACTAATAAAATACCGATCATTATTTACTTTTCCAAAAATGACATTGACTTTATCCGTATGAGGGCGACCAGTACCTTTACATCAAAATTCCAGGACTTGAAACGCTTAAATCTTATTAACACTGCGTTAGGTTCATAAAAGTCACAATTTCTTTTCGCTCAGAATGTTTCAATTTTTTCACTCACATTTGGACGGACTTTAAAAAAGGTTGGAAAATGTTATTACTTTTTACTTTTCGTGAAATTATATTATATATGTTGATATTAAAACTAGCCAGACATAAACATTACATACAACCAATAAATTTTCTTCAATTGAATACATACAAAAATACGAAAAATAGAAACAGATAACATTGTATTTAAAATAATT